GTATATGTTATAACCTTTTTATATCTTATTAATGTTATAACTAAAGTTATAACTCATATAAATGTTTGCACCCTTAATATCTACTATTATCATAATAAAGATTTAGCGAAATTACTACACTTATAAAAAAAAATATAAAAAGACGAGAGGGATTAGTATCCCTAGTTCAATTGGTAATAACTGAACTCCTATTATAGGTTACACTATGATAGCCACAGGTTCAGATCTGATTGTATTGTTCTTTAGATATAATAGTTTTATCATTCTTAAGGAATGATGCATTTATCGTATCTTAGGTATACGATTTTATCATTTCTAAGGTATAATAGTATTATCGTTTCTTAGATATGACAATTTTATTATTTCTAAAAAACGATGGTATTATCATTCCTTAAAGATGATAGTTTTATCATTTCTAAGGTATGATGATATTATCATTCCTTAGGTATGACGATTTTATTGTTCCTTAGAAATGATTGTTTTATAGTTTCTTAGGATAATAGTTTTATCATTCTTAAGATATGATGCATTAATCATTCCTAAGGAAAGATTGTTTTTTATATCTAAGGAATGATGATATTATTATTCCTTAAGTATAACGATTTTATCATACCTAAGATATAATAGTTTTATCATTTTTTAGGGATGATGGTATTATCATTCTTAAGAAATGATGCATCTATTGTTTCTTAAAGACAATTGTTTTATCATTTCTTAGGGATGATTATATTATCGTACTTAAGGAACAATTGTTTTATTGTTTTTAAAAAATGATACATTTATTATTCCTTAGGAATGATTGCTTTATCATTTCTTAAGGACGATAATATTATCATACCTTAGGTATAATAGTATTATCATACCTTAGATATGATGATTTTATTGTTCCTAAGATACGATAGATTTATTATTCTTTAGGTATAATGGTTATATCATTCCTAAGGTATGATAGTTTTATCATACCTAAAGAATGATGATATTATCATTTCTTAGGTATGATGATTTTATTATTCTTAAGGAACAATGGTATTATCATTCTTTAGCAACAATAGTTTTATTATTCCTAAGGTACAATAGTATTATCATTTCTTAGAGATGATAGTTTTATCATTCTTAAGAAATGATTATTTTATTGTTTATTAGGGATAATGGTATTATTGTTCTAATGAACTGAACTTTCAGATTAAACTGATTTGTTAAAATAATATTGATTTAATATACTATTTAAGTTTATTTCTGATATAAGAATATTTATATAAATAAGCTTAATTTTTTAACTTTTTAAAAAATAATTTCAATCATTTTCAAATTTTTTCTTTTTATATTTCACTAAAATCCTGAAAAAAATCATCTCAAAAACAAAAAGACTTTAAATTAAATTTTAGTCAATTTTCACCTTCAACTATCAAAATTAGATAAAGAAAAAGCTGTATTTTAGTTAACTTTTCAAAATAAACTGATTTTTTTTTACTTTTTATAATAGAAATATGTTTCCAATCATCAAAATTGGATGAAACTTAAGTTGAATTTTTGTGATTTTTCTGATTTTTATTCTTTTTTTTCGAAAATAGCAATATTACTATAATAAATATTTAGGTCTTACTCAGTCCCTACTGATTCACTGATTCACTTCAATTATGTCCTATATAAGTGAGTCTTTTTAGCTTTTCCTTCTCCCATAAAATTTAAAATGTCTGCACAGAACAAACTCGAATGCTTATTGATGAATGTAAAAATGAGAATGAAGAATACTACTGAATCTCGAACTGTAATAAGAGAAACTTTTGGGAAGATATTGTGAATGAAATCAACTGAGCAAATAATATTAATTACTTACAGGAGAAGATTGTAATAAGAAATTCTTAGCTCTAACTTGAGCATATTATGTAAGTAATATGATAATTAAATAGTTAGAGATGTGTTGCTTATACTTAACCTGACTCTGATCTAGTATCTTTGGTTATATATAAACGGCTAGGACCTAAAAAAAAGCAGTAATAGAAGCTAATGCAAAAGCGCTCTTAAAGGGATCAGATAATACTGAAACTAATAAGGAAGATAAAGCAAAAGTCAAAAAGAAGAGAAGTCTTATTAGAGAACATTATTATTATTACAAAGAATTCTTCACAGAATTTTGAAAAGAATCCAGTATTTATCCTTCCTTCAGTCAAGACCCTTAGAAAATAACCTATCCGTTAGGTTTTCTTTTTTTTCAAATTAAAGTAAGAAAAAAATATTTATTGTTTTTAAGATCACAACATTTTATAATACCATCTAATATAACCATTCAATCAACACTTTCAACACCTGGTTCTCTCGAAACTGAGTCTAATACTTCTTCCTCTTCACATAAATAAACCAAATCATCAAGACCTGTAATACCTTCTACTGAGATTCCCGTAGTTTTTAGACCTGTCACTCTAACACTCCCCTCTTTTTCTCAAAGTATAAAGGTGATTAATGTCACTATTAATTATGGTGACAAAGAAAGCAGTTCAGAAGAACAATAAGAAATAGAATATTTTTTTATTAATATTATATGTATAACGCTTAGCAACTGTAGAATAACATTTTAATGTTCTAGCTGTTTTTTTTTACAATTATAGCTGTATTAATAAGCAAATGTAATTAATAAATATCACTTGTAAAACACGAAACACATTTAAAAATTCAAAGTAAATTCTTTATTATATTTTTGTAAAGTAATACATAAGAAAGAACTTAGTTGGCTAAGTAAAAAATGAAACTAAAAAAGATAATGGAGTAGATTTTGTTTAAAGGGAGGAATAAAGCACGAAATGAAATAATATCATGCTTTCTGCCAGCCTTTTAAAATTTAGTATAAAATATTAATGACAAAATTAACTTTGGATGTTGCTAAAGAAATCGCACGTAACAGAGGAGGTAAATGCATCTCTGAAAGATATATCAATTGTCAGATGCTAATGCTTTAGAAATGTGTTAAGGATCATTTATGGTCTGCAAGACTTTCTAATGTAAAGAATGAAAAAACATTATGCCTGTGATGTGCAGTTGAAAATCATCATACTCGAACAATTGAAGATATGAGGAAGCTTAAAGAAAAGAAAGGAGATCTTTGCCTTGTAATTGAGTATATTAATAGACAGGATTTTCTTGAATGGCAGTGTAAAGAAGGCCATAAGTGGAAGGCTTCAGCAAAGGATATTCTTAAGGGAACTTGATGTCGAACTTGTAGTATACCAAGCAGAAAACGTGTTATACCAAGCCAAAAGATTATTCCAGTATAAGGATATATTATATCAGAACAAAAACGTGTTATACCAAGCCAAAAGATTATCCCAGTACAAGAACATATTACACCAGAACAAGAATGTACCCCGATCCAAAGATATGATACACAGCACCGTCAATGACGATTCAATATTGATATAGCAAATAATATTACACAAGAACGAGGTGGTAAGTGCCTTTCTACGGAATATGTTAATACAGATACCCTGATGCTTTGGAAATGTGCCAAAGGTCATGAATGGTCTACAACCCTTTATCAAATAAAAAATATGGGAAGATGGTGTA